TTAACAGGTGGTTTGGCGGCCTACTCGGATCGTAAACATACCATCGCACAGGCTGCTTTCACATCTACAACTGAACAGGGGCTGTTATCTGGACACCCTCAACGTCCTCGTTCCTGACCTTGTCCAATCGCATCCAACAGTAACGAGGAGCAATGTCGGTTGCAGAGAACAGTAACTAACTCCCTCCAATCCAACCAAGCCGTTTCATTCGAGCCTTTAGAGCGTCAGCGGTTAGATATTCAAAGTGTCGGGAATCCTGGCCCATTTAATGAATTCACCAAGGCCGTCTGCGATTGACTCTGCGCACTGCAGCATAGCATGGTTCTTTTCGGATGTAGCTGTAGCCCTCCTTTCTATCTTCTCTGCAGCTTATAAGAGGCTCTACATATTCTCTTCTAGCGAAGGGTGCAGCAATGTCTTCAGCACGGAGTGTGAGGGCTCCATCAATGGGTTCTTTTATGATGACATTCATGGTAAGCAGGAAGAGGAACTGATTCTTAACGTACCCAATCTGTAACGTCTATTACTTTTGCCAAGCCGATAGGTGAGGAGTGCGTATTATTGTCAGAGACTTATCGTACAGATTTTTGATGAGGAAAATAAGATGTTTCAAACAACTCGTCCTCAAAGCGTGCTGGTATCTTCAGACGGTCGGAAGTTTTCAGTCGAGAAAGATCAGACTTGCAGAATCTACGCACTTCTTGACATTTTTCCATCTTGCCTACGAAGTAGCATTCGTTGTAATCTTACATGGCATGAAGTCGAACTGCTTAACGCTCGTACAGTTTCATATGTGTGCGCCGTCAACCTGTTCTGCAATAAATAAAAAGAGCTCAATCATGTCCTTGTTCTGCCTTAGATGGGAACAATGATATGGTTTTCTACACGCATTTTGGACTTTTCCTTTAGTGGACACAGTGCTAAAGAGTCGGGCAAACCAACTGATTCCCTGCCCTGCCGTCTTTTATGCTTCTGTACCCCATCCGATTCGGTTGCTTTCTCATCTTCATTTTTGCTATTGCTTGTCGAACTTCATCCTCTATGAAGAGTGCGATGGAGCCAGGCGTCGCCTTCGCCTGAAAACTGTTCTCACGGTGGACTTCTTTGTCTAGGAACACATCCAAGAAAGAGGACGGACTAAGAATTGTTCCTTGGTATACCCCACCTGTAACGTCTATTGCTTCTGCCGAGCCGTGAAAAGAGGGGCGCATATTGCTGTCATGGACCTATCAGTAAGACCAGCTATTCTGGAACAGTTCGTTCTCGAAGAAAACTCGAAAAAGGATCGAATTATGCTATCCAATCCTTCTACACTCTTTCTCCTTCTTGTCTATCAAACTTCTCGTAAAGGCATCCATTTCCGTATCCTTCAGCTTTGCTATGGCAACCTTTTGCAGCTTCTGTAAACAGTTATTATGGGTCTTCTGTAGCTCTCATCTTCTGCCAACGCTTGGATGGGTATCTTTTCTGTTTTACGACTCTCTGGACTTATCGTTAGGAAGCAACGCTGGTCTTCCTTCTAAGAATCCACCCCGCATCTCAGTATTTCTTTTGTACACTGCAGGATGACCTTTACGGAGCTGTTATATACTCACGGAACCGAACCATGAGGATTCGGGAGATCGGCTTCTAAACTCCCCAAATAACGGTCATAGGTCGTCCTTTTGCGTTTGATGCAATATTCGCCATCGGAATTTCGCTCCTATCTCGGAGAGGTTTGCCAAGCAGAAACTCTATGTCCTTCATAGATTCGAGGACTATTTTCTCACGAGCACATGGTCAATTTACGTGTTTTCCCCACTGCAGTAGGTTACCTCTTAAGCCGTTTTGGATAAAGGTGTCACAGATTTTCAGGTCATAGACCGCGATCGGGCTGAGGGCTATTTCTGTGAAAGGCTGTACCACTGCTATGCCTCCAACACTTGGTGTCTTCTTCTTGTAGTAAGGCTTGTCACCTGCGTTTATTTCTCTGGCCTTGGCTCCTTTCCAGCTGTCTCCTGATGTCATAGGTTATGAATGGATGTTAGTGCACTCCATAGAAACGGTGATGTTTCGTGACACATAGTGACACATAGTGCACTCCATAGAAACGGTGATGTTTCGTGACTCTCCAGTAAGCGATCCAACGTTTATTGTCCCAACTCAAAATAACTTCCTTGAGCAATGTTGTTCACTCACTAGTAGCCGTCGCATATGGTCCACAGAAGTCGGGCAGGGGTTTTGCGCGAGAACTCTGAGTGAAGTCATAGCTTTACTACTAATTTCTTTCGAGACTTTAGACTTTGTTGTGTGACAGGGTTTCTCCCTCAGCCAGCCTGTCAAGCTGACCAGCTTATGAGGAAACCGAAAGCTGTTGCTGACATAATTTTTGCAAAATTTAATTTCTACATCGGTAGGGATCGTGTTCGTGGTCTTTTTGAGTGCAGGCATGCGCCTACACTCGTAACCAGTGGCTAAATGTGCCTCTCTGGAACGCTTCGATTTTTTGAAGTTTACCTCGTGGTAATTACATAATTTCAGCAATTGGAGAAACACCCAACCAGTTAACTCCAACCACAAGGGCTGGTTCGTTTGAAATTCTAATTTTCTATAGGGAAAAACTATGAATCAATCAAATGAAACAAACGGCGTTGTAAGCAAAAATAATAAAACACGAAAACATGCAAACAAACATGAAGTGAATCCTCTTATCCAACAATTCGGAGGTAACTGAGGTAATGAAAATTTCTGGAACGAAACTCACTCCGTCAGTGTTCCAGAGCATTATTGCTCTTCCTAATTGCAAAACCAGGACAACGTTGCCCTGATCTTGACATGAGTGCCTTTTTGCGAAGGATGGCAGCTCTGATATAACAGCAAAATAAGCCACGAGGTTGAGGTTCATTCGCGATCGTCATCCTATGATGGCCCGAAACGACCTATTTTAAAACAGATTCGGCTATTGTTGTTCTCCGAATTCATTTCTATAAGGGGGACCTACAATGTGCGGGAAAAGGAAACAGAAATAAACCTGTGACCTGTGAATGCTAGAGCTTTATCGGTCCCCTCAAGATCACCAGGATTCGTGGAGGGCGATTACCCACTTTGAGCGAGGAAACAGCAAATAGCGGACCACAAACACAGGGTGTAGCCCATTATTTCTACTGTCTGAATAACAAAGAACTTCTCACTTTCAGTACTACAAGACATCCACAAGTTGTCAAAAACTAGTAAAGATACGTTAACATAACCAATAATGGGTAAGGAAAGGAAAGTAATAGGTGGTATGCCAGGCCCTGTCACCAGACGTAAGGTACCTAGGGTGGACTGGTCATATTACGCGCCAGAACACTTTCGAGTGTGCCTTATTGGGGCAAATTAGGACGATTTTGATAAATACAAATATAATACCCAATACTAATAACCCGCTATGTAATTTTTAGTCACCTAAATCAGTTTTTCCTTTTTACCTAATACGGGATTGTTTGAATCGAATTAGTAATCCAGTATTAACGCTATGATTAAGATACTGTTAAAGTGGCACCTAAGCAAATACTTCAAATGATGGAAGCGGAAAAGATGGGTGAGAGGTTATAATACGTAGGTTGCCTTTTATATTTCGGGATTAGGAAACAAAAATAGATGTAAATCGCTATACACTTTCGCATGCGCTCGAACCAAATGTCGAAGCACTTTTGAAACTCTGATTGAGATAACTTCAGAACATGCATTGTGAACGCATCAACGGCTTCTTCAGGTGTCGAAAAACGTTGACCTCTCATTCTNTTTTTTACGTACGGACGTACGGGATAAGAAGAAGTCACCCGGGGACTATATGGCTGATGACTCATCAAATCGTTGTTTTGAGCGCTCAAAAATGCAGTTGTTTGAGCCGATGTGTGGGAGCTCGCATGTCGTGGTGAAGAGTGATCCGTTTTCGGCAGTTGGTAATCCTAAATTTTTGGAAGACAACTGACAAACAAATGGTGGTCTACCACTCAGAATTGACTGTTTTGCTTGTTCTAGTGGCACGGTTGCGACATGTCCAGTTTTTCCAAAAAACATGGGACCACTTGCTTGGAAATGCTTCGTGCGCGGACAGTTTTTGTTATATTTGGCATCTTGAAATGCCCATACGGTCGACTGCTGCTGACTCTTGGGCTCATACGCGTAAACCCATGATCCATCACCTGTCGCGATGTCATAGACGTGCTTCGAAGCACCGCGATCGTATTTTTTGGCATTTCTTTCGACCAATCGACATGAGTTTTTTTGGATTAACAAATTTTGTGGGATCCAACGCGAACAAATTTTTTTACAGTCTAATGTTCATGCAATATTGGATGTATGCTGGTCCCTTTAATGTCTAAGGTTGTCCCAATCTTACGATAGGTCACATGACGATCTTGCAATATTAGTTTGCGCACAGCATCGGAACAACAACTGATTTTGGAGACTTTTACGAAATTCATCTTGGAGTGAACTGCGACATTGGTTGAATTCACCATACCATCTCATCGATAAGCACTGGTCTTTGATGGAGCCTCATCGCCAAAGGGGGAGGGAGCAGTTAAGGGGGAAGGAGGTTTGGCCTAAGTGGGGGGTGGGGGCACTGAGGGCCTGAGCAAATTTTTTAAGTTGGTGTAAACAACACACCTCATCGCCAAAGGGGGAGGGAGCAGTTAAGGGGGAAGGAGGTTTGGCCTAAGTGGGGGGTGGGGGCACTGAGGGCCTGAGCAAATTTTTTAAGTTGGTGTAAACAACACAAAGAGCGCTCATATGCTAAAGCGTTCTGAGTACGTATAACCTCAAACTTTACTATAGAGCTGTCAGTTGCCAGATTGCAACACTAGGGTTGCTCAATCTCAAAATATAAAAGGCAACCCTTGTAGTAGCGTTCACGTCTTGCGAGCATATCCTACTTTCAATTCTGTTCAGCCAAAGCGTCAAAAGGCTACGATAACGTCGAGATAGATATGGACGACGATATTTTAGACGATAAACCAAACAAACCATCTCCATGATCGTCATAGGATAGTTATCACTTGAACTTCTCGAATATAAAGCTATCAGAATTGTCTCCCATTTAAACAAACTCATTTGTAATTACCTCAATTTTGCCTAGAATACTATTATAATAATTTTGCTTGCGTTTGTGCTGACTCATTGAGACGCCAATCACCCATTATGTATTAAAAATGAATGTCATAAATTTTTGCTGTGTATGAAATGTTATGAGGAACTCACTTGATGTCCATTCAGTGATTTGGGATGATCCGAATGTAAAATCGATCTGGGTGGAAGAAAGAAATATTCCATTTGAAAGTGCCCATGATAACGAACGCTTTGGTGTGCTTTTTACTTCTTAGGGATCCTGAAATACAATAACTCGGTCAAGTACTAGGAAAGCTATCCGGCCAAATACCTTTTCCAGTCTTGAATCTTTCGGTTAGATGGCGGAACTTATGCACGAATTTTTGATGGTGAAATCGCAGTGCCATACTGTAATGATCTTAATCAGCTGCCGAAATCACATCGCAACGATTCAAACCTGGTGGTAGCAGCTTCGCAATCCTACCAGGCTGCTCAATTTTGTGAGCCCTTCGAAAACTCTTACTAAATCGACGAACGAAGGATTTCTGCAGCAGACAATTGCGCAATGCAGAAACGGCTTATATCCGTTGCAATGAAGAGACTACCTACAGTGCGTTTCAAAGGTATGTACACACCCAACATTTGTTTTTTGGGAATACCATTGCTTCCTGTAACCTGTAACCTTTACCATTCAATTCCTTGTGTGCGATAATCTACGATCACATTTTCTGAGAAAACATCGTAGCTGCTAACACAATTTTTTATTAAAAAAATTCTTCTTTGTTTCAAAAGTATGTGCACACTTACAATTAGCAAAAAACAAAAACTTAACCGAGACCAGAAATCAATGAGGCCTCCTAAATTCCTGTAAAGGTTATCGACTACGAGGAGTCGTCATTCGAGACCCTGACAGCGCTCACAGCGCTCATCGCTCACAACCTATTCCTGGCCGTCCACTTATCTCGACTGCTCAGGGCAACAGGAGAATAGCCCGTCTTGTGGCAAATACTTCTTTGTCTATGAGTCAGATCCGAGCCCAGATGGGTCTATCAGTCTCGCGTACGACCGTTCGGCGCTCTATCCGCTCTAATGAGTATATCACACGAGA